ACAAAAATACAATTTTGTTCAATTCAAAACATTTACCAAATCCTCTTCTGTTACCCTGTATTTTTTCTTTGTGGATTAAATGAACAGTTATTGAGATTTTTTACTTAAATATCCAAGATTTAGGCATTTCAACCACTGTTAAGGCCTTAACATGTAACTGTAAAATCAATAAGCCAAAATGTCAACCAATTCAGTTCGTGCATCGTCCAGACATAAATCGTGATACTTTTAATTTGGAAATGGAAAGGATCGACTGGGATTCTATGGCTCAATTACCTCATTTAAATGTTATAGTTTCTCATTTTATTTTAACAGTGTTAAGCCTGTTCGACAAATTCGCGCCACTAAAGCTTAAGCAAGTAAAGAAGCGTAGATATCCATGGATTACCTTTACTAATTACTATTCGCGAAATGATGAGACTGCGAAACGAAGCACACAATCGTATTCGCTTAACTAGGCTAGAGAAGCTTAAAATTTATTACAAAGAACTTAAACATGCTGTAAACAGCGTTATATCGCGAAAAACAAGCCTTATTTATTTTAATCTGCATATAAACCGTAACTTAACTAATTCCCAAGCTCTTTGGAACAATCTTTAACGGACAATAAAAATGTCAGAAAAATTTAGAGACTATGTAATTCCTGACCATCTAAAGTCTAAACGATTCGAATTTGATTAATTCTCACTTTTGCTCTATAGCCTGAAACAATTTAGCTCCCGTTCCTGAAAATATTTTCTTTAACTCCCATCGATTCTGCTCTTCAACATTTAAGTTAAGTGTTACAAACGAAAACACAATAGCCAAAATAATTAAATCACTTAAGTCAAACGCATTCGGTGCTGACGGCATATACATGGATATGGTTCTTTCAATACTTTCTTACACGCTAAAAGTAATCACCGCGACAGTAAACAGGTCGATAACCACGTCTTATTTCCCTGACGTCTAGAAAACCGCTTTAGTTATACCAATTCCAAAAACCAATAGCATTATAAATTTCAAGGACCTGCGCCCTATCACTAATCCTACCGTCTGTCGAAAATTCTGGAGAGAGTAGTATTAGTAATAGAGAGAGTAGTACCGAAACTGTAGTTTGGTTTTAGAAAGCATCATAGCACGATGACAGCACTATTAGACGTAGTTGATAATATTTTGGCATCTGAAGATAAAGGTGAAGGATCCATTATGGCACTACTTCATTTGTCACGGGCTTTTTATTGACTTAACATCGAATTATTATTGTCCAAGCTATCTTATTATGGATTCGATCCGACCGCAATCAAGTGGTTCTCCTGTTATCTAAATGACCGCATGCAGTTATTTAAAATAACTAAAAAAGATGGTACACATTCTCTGTCAAATCCAATCAATTCCCTAAGGATCCACACTGGGCCATCATATTCTTCTATTCATATTGTATATTGCAGATGTTAATACACTTGCAGGTATATATGTCCTTTGTTCCAAGTCAAATTAAGTGGGTAGTTAATAAGTAAAATAGAAATCTAATGAAAATCGCCTAGTGGTCAGAAGCCAATACTCTTGTACTCAATTCAGCAAAATCAAAATACATAGTATTGGGATCAAAGTAACAGATAAATCGAATAGTTGCAAATAATCCTGATTTGTGTGTGGTCGGGGAGAAGGTAAATGGTCTGACTGAAGCCATGAATCTGGGTTTGCTGATGGATGACAATCTTCGCTTTGAGAGACACGTGCTAACTATTTTTACAGACTAAAATTATTATACCAAATACATGACGTTTTGAGTGAAGCTCTGCAACTCCCTTGTAATCTCCAGGCTAAACTATACCGATGCGGTATATGGACAAGATACTTTTGAAAACTGACCGAATAATTCAGATGTCAAAATGCTTGCGCCAGATATATACACCACATTCCCTCACGAACTCACGTCCTCTTTGCTCACGTCAGTCACTATTTAAACAAATCAAAGTTATTAAGAAAGTCAAATTAAGAGCGCTACATTTGGCAACACTAATGTTTTGTGTGTTTCAAAACAAAAAGGCCGGGTATCTGTTAGTAAAATTAAAATGGCGCAAGGACGATAATTTTAAGGACATTCGAACAAAATCAAATGGCCTTTCGATACCAAAATACACAACGCCAGCATTCCGCAGTAGTTTCAAATATGCAGCTACTAAATGCTATATAGGTTTTTTTACTTCGATCAACAATACCCATAGACTTAGAATATACTGGCGTATAGACCAACATAGTGTGCAAGGGAGAAGAAAATTCCTTATGGCATAAATGCAAGATAGAAAAGGATATCAAATCTCATGACCCTCTAACTTGTGTTCTCTAACAGATTTTGAATGACAGGTCGGCAAAAGTTGGCACGCAAGATATAAGCTCCTAGATATTTTGTAAGTTTTTAGAGTGTAGGTAATAGTGGTTATTTTTAGTAAGTAACTTTTTTCCAAAATTATTACTTGTTCTGTGAGTGAATGTGTTGTTAGTAATAGAAATAATCCTGATAATTGCACATTTCACAGGTAAATTCTCAAGACGTCGTCAATGTTATGACGCGTTTGTTTTTGGTCAAAATTTATGTTATATACTGTTTAAAATATAGAAAGTTTTCAATTGTTTTATTAATTTTGATATTTTGCAGAGAAAAAGTCACTTTGTTGATAATTTGCATGAATTTGGTACATACATTTTATACAAAATATTTTACTTGTACGCTAGGGATTGACTCAACTATATCAAAATGAATGTCGATATTTATCTTGAATGTTTATATTGAAAAACTTACCCACACAACAAGAAAATCAATCCTTGGTTTGCGTTCTAAAATGTAATTTTATTTTGCCTTTTGTTAAACAGATTCCCTCTGGATTCTATAATTAGAAACAATGGTTAAGGTTAATTGGACGGGTTGGTTGAAATCCAAAGAAGAACTAAACAATTTTCAGCAAACATTTTCTTGAGAAATATAAAAGAAGAAGTAGAATAAAAACAATTTAATTAGAAGGAGTCATTTCTACATTATTTGTACCAATAAGTATAAAGTTGTTATAATCAGACTTCAAAAGTGTAACTTTCAAAACTTTAGAAAAAAATAGAGACAGATTTTTACACATTATCAAACTATAGCACATTAAAGATAAAAAAATATTGAGATTATCCTCCTTAAGCCATTATGAACCCAACTAAGTATCTATTCATCAACCAAAACAAATGTATAACCTTACTTAACCAACCGAATAGACTCGCGGTCACACTAGTACAATATTCATAGCATCACGCTATTTCCCCCAAGGGGTTGAGCGGAGATTCGGAATATATTCCCAAGTCACACTGATAAAAATTTTAGCGTAGTTAGGTATATATATTTAGTAATGCTCCTGAAGCGCCACTAGATGCCCGCGCATGAGACGCGATAGTATAAATTCCATAATATTTGATACTCACAACGCTCGATGGCCGATACATGCTTGATAGCCGACGACATTATGCCGAGGGCTTAAATAGCGTGGTTCATCGCCTACAGCGTTAGTCGTAGAGAACAGGAACTCGTGGTTAAGTAATAGCTGCGCGGATCTATAGATGTGCGAGATTAAGTTGCACTTGCCGCAGTCAGTCGTAATTAGGTTGAACTTAAAACAGTTTTAATTTTTTTATCTCGGTTGTTTGTAAACAAATGGAGATGTATGTGTATATTTACGCGGACAACATTTAGTATAGATTCTGTACGTGATCTGTTATCTAGTTCGTATTGTTGATCGAACGTTTTTATACTGCTTAGTTTAAGTAGATACAAGCATCTTCCATCGCAAGCCATATTGATTTTTACAAGGTTGGCCGCCTTTTACGAAAATGTGATGAGATTTATTTATAAATGTTATCTTATGTAATGTAATATTATGTAATAAGTATGTATATGTACGTGGTCAATGTCTGCTCATGTTATTAGTGAAAACCATTAAGCTAGTTTTACGATAAACCTCAGGTTGTTTTATCTTCTACGGCGCTTTGAGTTGTCCTCGACTTTCCGCTAAGTGAGTTAAGTTAAGGTGATGAATTAAGTAATGAAGTTAATGTAATGTGATGATAAGAAAATGATATGCCATTACTATATTAACGTTAAAACACGTCATACTAGGCAGTATAGGCATTGATCCTTCTGTCTTTAAATAAAAAACAACAACAACAACAACAAACAACTGTCATCTGTCATGTTATGTCAATTCAACTGTAAACGTCATTTTGTTTGTCGAGTGCCGAGTCAAAGTGCCGAGTGCAATAGATTTTACGAAGTAATATCAGAAATTTATTTAGATACCTATAAAACAATAATAAAGTATATTTTTATTTTTATATAAAGTACTCTGTGACTATTAGTAATCACTCCATTCCTTTTTTGCATGAATTGTGATATAATAAACATAAAAGGACAGTATTATGGCGTGTTAATTTCTCTTCACAAAACTACAGTTATTGTTAGTTGATTTAGGTACAAAAGTTTTAATTTACAAGAATGTGTTACGCAAACAAGAAGTATTAAGAAAAAAATTAAAAATAGGCTAAAAATTATCATTCAAAAAGGAGAAAATAACAGTTCCCATGTTTTGGGATCATGTTTACCGTAACAGGCATATTATGCAGGAGTTTGAAGATATAGAAATACACAAAACAAGTGTATCGGTTTTTGTAGCGCTTTTCTATCTCGAAATGTTGTATATATTAATCATGACGCTCTCAATTTTGAACAGGCTGAATCAAAACTTGTCTTTTTAAAACATTTTTTTGAACTACTGTGAGTATTATAGTTTATTGGAGATATTTTATGATCTATGATAAATCTTATTTGAACTTCTAAAATAATACTATTAATCCAAATTCTAAACAATCTCAGTGAATGGTTATGACTCATTGCAAAAGGATGTTGTGTTTGTTATATTTTTTGGAATACTTGTAGTTTTAGTATATTAGCACACATAACATTTTTTTTTCAGATACTATTTAAAATGATTGGTGTAAATAATCATTATATTGAGAGGTTATATCTTGATAAAAGGAGAAATGAAGAAGTTTATATTGATACATGTCCACTTCCTCAGCATCAAATTGATGGCATAAGGTTTTTGTTTAGACAATTTAAAAATGTAACTATGAAACTTTTATTATGTTTCTTATATTAAGGCTTAGGTACTTGCATATTAAAAACTGCACTTTTTGGTGGTCCCACACAGTAGTTAAATAAGGTTGTAAAACATTTGTTAGTTTACATTTTATCATGTTTTTTATGTGGTAGACCTTGCTGCAGCTACATTATCGTTGTAGCACAAATGGGTCGGCTCGGCTGGGGTAGGATCACACTCTAATAGAATATCAGCATAAAATGCTTAGCTTAATGCTGCTGTTTCATATGGTGAATGTAGAGTACCGGAGACCCTTTTTACTGGAAGGAGGCATTCCATCTTAGTCCTCAGTGGTGGTGACGCATCTGTATTTTGATTCTTAATTGAGAATAAATGTAGATGTCTATGGGCCACAGCATCCACTTGCCTTCAGGCATCAGGTGGACTGTGTGCTGGTTTGTCACCCTTATTCTATAAAAAAAAATCACAATGCTTTGTAAAATTATTTCACAAATATTGTTATGTGATGACTGATGATATATAACAAATTGAAACACATCAAATTATCACTTTCATTAAATTTATCTGGGCATTAATATTTAAATAATTTAGGTATTCTGTTGTACTGTACTTTTTCCAGCATTCATTGTTAAGTTCATTCAGTTAAAGTACTTTTTTTATACAAGCTCTTTAAAAATCAATATGATCTATTGGTAATCAAATATTACACAGTGTTATCCAACATGTTAGAAAGTTTTTACTGGTGTCAGAGCATATTATGTAACATCAAACAAGTGAAAGTAATATGTAACATAATATGTATGAGAATGTTAATGTGGAATGTGAGAATGGAATGTTATGTGTGTGCACCATTAGATAGACATAATATAAAACATTTACAAAAGTTTATACTAGCTTAGTGTTTAATGGCATTATTAAACAAAAGTTAATTTGTCGTGTAATGGTAGCATTTAGAAAATCTACTGATTCATATCATTCTATGGGTGTTGTAAGAGGTGACAGAGTGAAATGAAGCAGGAGATAGGCAGCAGCATTATTCTGATAACAACTATAAAGTAATAAAGAACTACTACGTTCTTATACGTGGTAGAGCCATGCTGCAGCTATATTAATAGTATAGTTGTAGCACGAATGGGTCGGCTCTACAGGGGAAGGACCACGCTCTCACAGAATACCTGCGTAAAATAGCTTAATGCTGCTGTGTTTCGTATGGTGAGTGTAGAGTACCGGAGACCCTTTTTACTGGAAAAGAGGCATTCTATTGTAGTCCTTACGACTGACAATGCATCTGCATTTTGATTCACAAACGAAGATAGATGTAGATGTCTATGGGCCGCAGCAACCACTTACCATCAGGTGGACTGTGTGCACATTTGTCATCCTTATTCTATAAAAAAAAAACCACTGCCAACTTGTCTGCCAAGCATCGCAACTATGGCGAATATCTGCTGTCTAGGAGGTAATCTATGTTCAGCTGTAAACATATTCAAGGCAGTAATGGATGCATGAATGAAATCCACTCTTATACGTAAGCTAGCTATGTTGCGTCTTAACATAGTTATAAACCTTAAATGCAACAACGAGTGAAGAGAGAAAGAACTTTAGGTTACCGATGAATGCAACAGCGGAAGAAGAAGAATTTTAAGGCATTACTTAGTGTCCTATAACACGATTCGGAGGAAATTTGTGGGGAGGTTACACCCATTCTTCCTCTCGCTCCTTCCTCAACCCTCTTATCTAAATCTACTAAGTCTGGAAACTGATTTTTAATATAAAATTTTCAAAATGCTTCTACATCTTCCTTGTGCCTTAGGATACTAAAGCTACTATGAGGCATATGTTCAGCAGTGGTCTTGTACCTAGGCTTGCCAACTGTCCCGGATTTTCTGGGACGTCCCGCTTCTGTGTTGATTTTGGACCGTCCAGCCGTAACACCTTGCGGGACGCCTTTTGTCCCGGAAATCAATGATTATATGATATTATTATCTATCTCGTACCAACTACACCTTAACCGTAGCTTCTATACCACTTTCAAATGCATCAGCAGAGAGAGTGTTTTCTCTCTGTGTAAATGCATGGACAGACAGCAGAAATAAGCTGTTTGTTGACCACGGCAAGGCTGAACTACAAATTAACATTAATTTTGATTCAAAATGCAGTGAATTTTATAACCAATGTGGTTTTTTTCTAACCAATTTGTATGTGGTACGTTGTGTCCCGCGTTATATACCCAAGTCCCGGATGTCGATCTGGGTAATCCCGGAAATGCCTTTTTTTGGAGTTGGCAAGCCTACTTGTACCTCTAAAAATAATGCAACAAAGTATATGCATAAGAGAAAATAACACTGTTGTATCCACTGTATTATTTCATCATAATCATCACCACCACATTAACAATCCATGTCATAAGTCTAAGCATAAGCCTACTCTTAAAATCTTACTTTATACTGAACTGTGGCTTCAGGAGGTTCATTCATGTTCAGTTTGCTGATGTGAGACTTCTTGCACCATTTTTAATTTTTTGCTTTTTTAATTTACTTTAATATGCTAATTGAAATTCTTGTATTCTTTTATTAACAGAAAAAACCGGGTATAATACTGAACAATCCTGAGGGTTATGGGAAAACTGTGCAAGTGGCACTGTTCTTAAATGCTGTCCGTAGGATATTGAAGAATCCTGTGTTAATTCTGTGTAAAGATGACAAGGAAGTGAATAAATGGATCAACATTTTTAAGATGTGGACAAAATATACTGAGGGTATGTTACCTTACACTTTTTCCTTTCAAGAAATATTTTCGTGTTTTTATACTTATAATGAAACAACAACTTATTTTTGTTTGTGGTTTAAAATTATTTGTTTTGAATTGATGAATAACTTTTCAAGATGGATAAAACTCACATCAAATCTACTATAGAGGGACTGGGAGTCGAGTGAGATAACAAGTTTCGTGCTATTTTAGGCGTTTTTCTTTTTAATTGCATTTGCTTTAAATAATCTTAATTTGTGTTGGTTGTGGTTTTAGACCTGCCACATACATACAGAATTCCGATTCGGGATTACGAACGCAGCAAGTTCATATAAAATCTATGAACCCTCACACACATACAGTAGTTTTCCGTTCGAAAATTTGCGGGCTAAACGGGATTCCGAATGTATGTGGCCAGCCTTAAAAGTAAGTGTTTATTAGTAGTTTAGATTTATATGTATTCCTTAAATAAAATGGAGGAGGATCTTCCCAATCCAGATGGTAATCCCGGTAATACTTGTCCTCCCATATCAGTGGATAAGAGTAACTGTTTATGCCCGAATTTGGTCATGTTTAACGCCAACCAATTGCGTTCAAGCTGGCGCCTCACCCGATGGTATGTAGGTGAGATAAGCGCCGAGGTGGGGCGACCGAGCTCGACGCGTGGGCAAAACGTCGGTGCCCCGCCAGCCACGAGGCGGTGAGTGGATCTAGATAGCTAGATGAAGTACGTGCTTCTTCGTCACGTAGATATGTGAATTGTGCGATATTTAACTCGGGCGAGAGTGCGGAATAGTATACGCGCGTCTAGTAGATATACGGTCTAGGATTCGACCCGCGCATTCCTATTTGAGAGCTTCTCCCGGTTAATTGTCAAGATATCATTATAATTGTGTCGGCGCGTTTAGTGCCCCTTTTGTGTTTTGGTTGCCTAGTTAGATTAATTTGCGTTTCAACGAGGCGTATTTTGACTCTGGCGCGACGTGTTATTCTGGTGCCGAATTTATAATTTGTGATAAGGGAATCCGGGACATTCAATGTCGATTTTTGTGCTATTGTCCTTGCCGTGTCGGATATCACGTGTTCGATTCTGTGATGAGTGTGTAATTAGGCGAATTGAAGTTAGTTAAATGTACGATGAAGCTGAGAGACTGAGTATTGACAGTGAAGAAAGAAGTGGTCCGGTGCTGAAGCCTGCTGTAGCGATGCAGCATTTTGAGGCAGCCAGGAACTCGGCCGCTGCTGATCGCCTAAGCTTGCTCAGGTCGCAGACATTTACACCTCACTGTACACTACTCGCCACCCACTATTACACACACTCACGGCCTGCCCAAGCCTTGGGGCGAAGTTAGCTTCGGATAATGGTAAGTACTATGTGTTTCTAGCTTTCTCCCATATAGTTTATTGTGATAGGAAATTCCACGCGGCCATATTGCGGCCCGACCTACGTCTGCTCGTGAAGTCTTCTGCTGAATGGGCCCCAGAGGATAGAACCTTTGTGGAAGCAGCCGTAGGCCGTAACAGTAACATTGAGCAAATTAATCGCAAACGACCGCAAAGCAGTAGTGATACAATTAGCCCTCAAAAAAGGTTGATAATAAACTCAGCACAACCTTTACCATCGATCCAATCTCTATATACCCACCCTGATTATATTGAAAAAAAAAAAAGTCTAAATACTCTGATGAAGATGGTTCACCTGTTATAATTCGTTTGAGTAAAATAGTGAATGAATTATCATCTGGAACAGTGTTAAACCTATTCAATTTGGCCACTTCCTTTTTCACAATAATATCAAAAATTTTGTTTGCGATGGCGTCAAGCGAGTAGGACGCAACAGAATATCTTGAATTTAAAAGCCAGCTGACGCTAATACTTTTATCGATCATCCAGTCCTTTCGACAGCCAAATATGATACCCTCATATAATGTCACTCGAATGGGAATAGTTAAACAGGTTCCTGTAGAGTGGACATTAGAAGAATTAATCACTTCCATTAAAGTCCCCTCTGGTTTTGGTAGAGTTATCAGAGCACGCCGTCTGAATAGGCGATCTGTTAACGAGAGCAATAATCCAGTTTGGATCCCCACTCAGACTGTTGTTTTGACTATCTCAGGACAAATATTACCAACTTATATTACTGCTTTTATACATCAATATATCATACAGCCCATAAATGCTGTCGATTTGGACATGTAACTTCCCAGTGTAGGTCTTCCCCTCGCTGTTTTATATGCGCTCAAAACCATGAAGGAGTATCTTGTTCTCGCCTAAGTCCTATTTGCTTATTTTGTTCTGAATCCCATTCAGCAAAAGAGCCTTCTTGCCCTAAACACTCCAGACAAAAAACTCTAAAATTAGTAATGTCTCAAGAAAATATTTCTTACTTGGAAGCCTCAGCAAGATTCCCTCCAGTGAAAAGATCTTTTGCAGACACCACAAGAGCTCTTAATATTACCCAATAAATCTCCCATACTGTACCAAGTATCTGTGGCGGGTGGAAGGAAAAGGGGAGATCTCCCGCCGGGCAAGGTGTTCTGCTCGGGGAGCGGGCAACGCTCCGAGTGGTAGTTTGGAGCTATTCTATATAATACTGATTTCATTTCGGAACTTTGTTAGCGCGATTTAGGCTTCGATGTGTGTCGCTAGTGCGACGACAGCGCCGCCACATCACTCTCCTGTTCAGACCGGAGGTCGATAGTGCAGTTCGATTGCCGGTGCGTCCTTAATGCCGGTGGGGAATGCATGCTGTGTGCTTAAGAGCAAGTGACGGCAGTGCGAACGATATGCCGGTGTGTAATGCATGCCATAATACGCACTTGCAAGTGATGCCGGTGAGAACAATGAGCCGGAGCAAGTGCCAGGGATTGCCTTGTAGTCTGCGGTGAGTCGAGAAGAAGGCAAGTAATCTGCGAGAGTGCCGTGAAGCAGAGGCAAGCAGCAAGGCTCAGAGCCGTGCCGAACACTGTAGCGCAGAGAGTAGCTTGAAGGAACAGAAAGCATTATTATTCCAGTGCTGTGATGAACTTTAGTAAAGCTAGATGGTTTGCAGAATGTGAAGACTGCAGACAATATCTGCTCGGAAGCGAATGAATGGGGTACTTGAGGCTGATGACGAAGGTTTTGAAGTTGTAGTTTTCGAAGGTTGTTGGTTGCGTGTTCATATCACGTCGGGGTCACCACTGTGGCGGGTAGATGGAAAAGGGGAGATCTCCCGCCGGGCAAGGTGTTCGGCCCGGGGAGCGAAAAACGCTCCTAGTGGTGATTCGGAGCTATTCTATATATACTGCTTTAATTTCGGAACTTTGTTAGCGCGATTTAGGCTTCAATGTGTGTCGCTTGTGGCGCGACGACAGCGCCGCCACAGATCCAACTACATCATTACCTTTCTCATTCCAAATCTCCTCCCATAGAAAAACTATATTAATTCCCAGACATTCTCCAAACCCAGCATCCGGTATTGGATATGACAAATCTGCTCATCATGCAATTACTGAAACCTCTGCCTCTTCTTTATCTAATGAATGTGCCTTAACAGAGAAAAATTCCATTTCCCCAAATGATAACCTTTTTGAGCTATTAATTTTCATGCTTATTAGTATGTTATCCCGTTTTAGTGATACTGAACTTCCATGTAATTTACATCAGAAACTTACTGAAATTTCTCTTTAGCCCATAAAATACGCAGTCCTACCAATTCTTCAATGGAATTGTCGGAGCATTAGAAATAAAAGAATGTACCCATTTACCTCATTAATAAATTTTGTCCCTTCATTCTTGCCATCCAGGAGATGTGGCTTAGGCCTGAGTATCATTTTAGGGTTTCAGACTACGCGTGCCTCCGGGATGATAGGAGTGACGGTCGCTCTGGTACCTCTATTTTCATCTCAAGAACAGTTACATTTTCACAAAATTCTCTCCCTTCTCATAGTCCCGCAATAAACGCTATTGCTATTAAGGTCCATCTATATTCTCGCTGTATACATTCCTAATCCTGATGTAAATGTCTTAACAGAACTTGGAACACATTTCTTGTTTGTCACCTCCTATGGTTATTGTAGGAGTTTTTAATATACATCATACTGTTAAGGGCTCCCATCTTTGTGAGTCACTGGCTCCCTTATTTTTAGATCTTATTGATAATTTTAATCTCTGTATTCTAAATGACGGGTCTCCTACTCGTAGAGTATCCTCATTACAAAATGTTAGAAGTGCCGTTGACCTAGCTCTCCGTTCCCCAGATATTGCTTTCCTTCTCTTGTGGCAGATATTACCTTCTAGCCATGGCAGTGACCATTTTCCTATTCATCACTCCTCCTACACCCTCTAGAATAAATTTCCCATTTTGCCCCAGACTAAAGCATAATCTATGCAAAGCTAATTGGCAATTATATTCTTCAGTTTTAGAACAAGAGGTTTCAACTCTTCCTCCAATTAACAAGGATAACATTGTTCCAGTATATATAGAGTACAGAAATTCAATTATTTCTGCTGCTAATAAGTCAAACCCTTTAAAAAACCATTCAAAAATAATTATCTTTCCCCTCCTTGGTGGGACGAAGATTGTTCAGCATCTTGTAGGAGAAGAAAAGAAGTCGAATTAATATCCTAATATAAATATATAATAAATATAATATAACTCCCGTTCTATGACTGCACAAAATTATTTCTCTTATAAAAAAAATTGCAGCAGAAGCCTTAAAAATTATTGTCAGACAAAAAGCGAACTGGCTGGTTTAAATTCTGTGTCACTGTCACCTCGGACTCTCTCATCTTTGGTCGGAAGAAATGTTAAAAAGTATTGCTGTGCAGTTTTCTGTCAAAATGTAATTTCTTATGATCCTTCCCCATAGATAGACGAATTCTCCAATAAACTTGCACCACAAACAGTCCCATCTTATGATGAATGCCTAGTTTTTAATTCTGCTTCTGTAAAAATACATGATAAATTTGATTCTCCCTTTTCTTCTCAGGAATTGTTTGAAGAATCCTCACCAGGTATTGATCTGTCTTACTATCCATTTTAAATCATATTTATATTACTGGTGCTCCTCCTGCTGAATGGAAATCCTAAATCATTTTGCCCATCCTCAAACCAGGTAAGTCTAGCAATGACCCTTCCAGTTACCTAACCCTTTCATGTACTCTGACAATCTTGGCACACCTAATAAAAAATCGCTTGGAATGGTTTTTGGAAAGGAATAATGTCTTACCTAAAAGCCAATTCGGTGTCCGTAAAGGCTTAAGTATCATGGATAGCCTTAGTACTTTGGTCACAGATATTCGTATTGCTTTTTCAAGACATGTATTGGTCATAGGCATTGAGTTATATGTACTACGTACTAGAGAAGCCATTCCAAACAAAAATTGTGTCCTACTCTATGTTTTCGGGAGTAGTAGTCGCGCATGCGCGAAGACTTTGATATAAAATAAGATATTAATCTATAATATAAAAATGAATGGCTGAATGTGTTGCTAAGCGCTAATCTCGAAAGCAGCTGCACCGATTTCCCTAATTCTTTTTTTATAATATTCCTTGAAGTTCGAAGATGGTACTTATGGAGAGAAAAATTAAAAAAAGATCCTGAAAAAGTCTATTATCTATTATTATTAAAAAGTAATATTCCCATACAAAAGATTCGTAATAATACTTAAAAGTCAATTTGATCTTTGATATCATAAAGTTTAAGTTTTAGTGGAGGGTTCCGGGAAGGTAAAACAATTGAGTGACGTTAGTATCGTATAAATATGAATGTCAACATTTGTCAAATAACTCCACGCGGGCGAAGTCGCGGGGAACAGCTAGTATAAAATAAATATAAGAATTTAATATCAAATATCTTAATTTAATCTAAACAGACATATTTCTAAATAAAATGTAATAACAATTATTTTATGGAATTCACAAATCTTCAATTTACGCAATATTTAGTTTGTACGGATTGCAGTACAGTTCAGTTGAACATAGTCAATGTTCGGAATGGCTTCTCTAGAACGTAGTACATATAACTTAATGCTCATAGGAGTTTTCTTGGATATTTTGTCTGCATATGATAATGTGCTTCTTCCTGTGCTCAGGCAGAAAATGCTTAATCTGAGCATTCCAGTGAGGATAGTCAATTATGTCTCTAACTTTCTCTCTTCTAGATCCATATTTATAAATGTTCAAAATTTCCTGCTTCCTCCCAAAACTATATGGAAAGGACTTCCACAAGGCTCAGTGCTTAGTCCTCTCCTTTATTCTTTATATACACATGATTTAGAACTTTTTCACTTCTTCCTTCAATATGCAGACGATTTAGCTGAATGCTGATGAAATATTGTGTCGTGTCAAGTTGGTGACACGCCTATTGTGCCATCAGCCATGTGTAAAAGTAATGTTCTTTTTTATGCTTTTTTCACTTGTTTAGACCTAATTAAGTTTAGTTGACATCAAACATCAGTTACAAAACGGAAGGTTACTTATTTTTAGTGGGTAACTACGTGTTTTTCTACGTGTTTTCTTTGAAATTGAGAGTAAGTAACTTTTTTATGCAAAGATTACAAACCTTTTGTACTATTTTTTGTTTTATAAAAGAATTATTTATATAAGTAGGTACAGCTAATCACCCTGGAAAGTTTGGTTTTTATTAATTTAAATTTTCACCTAATAATAACATTTGTAAATATCAAACAATCAAGAACCTTAATTTGGAAAAAAATAAGGTTTATGACTCATTGATATTTACAAATGTTAAATATTATTTAATGTTATACAAATGTAAAAGTAAAGTCGATCTGAAAACGTCTAATTAGTAAGAATAGCAAAACAAGTGTTTTCAAAAGGATAAAAACGCCGGCGCTATACGGCGGCGGATTGACAAGACAATTTATTAGCTAACTTTTTTTATGCATGAATGGCTTTGAACTGTTTCAAACAAAAATAAACCTTATACCATATCACAAGAGCACATGGTACTTCGTAGGTCTATTCGGCCATATGATAGTAATGAGACGGCAGTTCAACCATTTTTATAAAAAGATGTAATTTTGAAATTACAAACAGATACTTCAATTTTATTTATTTGTATAGACTAGCAGTTCCTTGCGACTTCGCCCGCGCGTAATTTATTACGATTGGATTTCATGGGTTTTAATTTTTTTGTGCGGAACCCTAATTCTTTTTCTAAAATATAATTAGCCTATGTTACTTTTTATAACAACAGCGATCTGCCAGTGAAAGTCCGGTCAATATCGGTCCAGCCGTTTCGGAGATTAGCCGGAACAAACAGACAGACAGATAACAATTTTAAAAATCATGTTTTTGTTATAAGTACCATATATACTTTCATATCCATATAGTAAAAATCTGTTATTACGACATTACAAACAGACACTTCAATTTTATTTATTTGTTTAGATATAAATGACTTAGGGTTTCTCTGGGTGATAGACTTAGAAATGAGGATATCCGCAGTATAACCAGAGTGACCCTCATAGACCAACGGATTAGTAAGCTGAATTGGCAATGGGCCGGCCATATAGATCGAAGGACCGAAGACCAATGAGGAAAAAAGGTTCTCGAGTAGCAGCCTCACATCGGTAGGCGTAGTGTAGCGCGACCCCTACACGACAGGCAAGAAGTAGATGGAAGCAGGTGGCTCATGACCGTGCTTTGTGGCATTCCTTGGGGGGAGGTCAAAGAGGTTTTTATGCAAATATTACGCCACATCCGGATTGAGATCAATACCTCCGGAAATTGAGTTCGGGTTGATCGCCTATTTTGTAATTTAAACTAAGCATTCAGCCCGTAATACGGCTCATTTTCCTTTGATTGATTTTTTTTTATTTCAGACGATATAGCAGTTGATCCTACCAATATCTTCGTGAAGAAGTCTATATTCATCAAGAATGCAACGGAAACAGCGGCGTATTCCCGGCGCGATTGGAGCGTGGTTGTGGTGAAGAACGACTTAGTGCAAAAGGACTTGTTAAAAGTGCCCTTCAACACTGCCTACAAAGTATGGCTGACCACTATCGATATGCGAGTAAGAATAATCACCCTATTGGTTATTTTTCTTTTTTTTTATTAGATTTCTTTTTTTGAATTAAGATGATAGTCTCATAAGAGGGGTGTAGGTCTCATTATGTTATGTATTTTCGCTCGGCTGGATCCACCCCTTTTTTGTCGACATACCACGCATTCGAAACAAATCGTTTGCTTCGGAAACATGTTCATAATGCGTGGAGCAAAGGAGTGGAACAATTTGCCAGCGTCTGTCTTTCTATCCCGATTATAATGTGGCAAGAGTGAATAGGCTTTGGTAGGTTTGGTTAAGCTACCGCTTACCATCAGGTTAGATAGTAGAGAAGCACTGGCTTATAATAGTTTAAAAGAATATATGTTTTATTAACAACTTCGCGTTGCTTACCTTACACATCACCGAACACGTAATGATTATAAAATTCGTTATTTCTTAAAACTTTAATAACTTTATATTAAGTGAAGATATCAAAATAATTTTTTTTTAGATAAGGGGGCAAATGTCTAAGAAATAAAACTTAGAAAACCTAATTTAAATCTATCCAGAAGCTTTTCTGTGATGCGGAACAACTGCAAACTTCAATCATTTTATTTATAAAGATACAGTGCCTGAGATTCAGAGATCCAATAAAGGTATATTGGATTTCCAGCTCTTATATTTTCTGAAAAAGGGCCCCTAATAATTTTAATATAGAGACCATTATAACTGAGTTATATTACTGTCTCCTGGCTCATTTCGAAAACGACATCTGAATATGAATGAACTGTGAGAAATTCTAAAACGATCTTCACAGTTCAGATATTTTTCAATATAACTATCTCGATTACGTCACACGTAAAATAAGCAAACCAATGACAGTAATCAGAAAGGTGAGAGACATTATTTTGTCAAACATAGCGAATATGGCGAACGGGAGAGGCCCATGGCCCAAGTGGACATTTATATTTTGATAAAAAAAGAAAGTAAAACCCTACAATCAAACAGTATTTTCGGTGAAAAAGAAAACCACAAGTAGTAAAATTAAAAAAAAAAATTGTACAACCGATTTCAATATTAATTATTAAGGATAACTCAAAAACCACTGATCAGACCTTGATCAAATTTAACTGGGATCACCTGGGAAGTACACCCTTTGAAACGAAAGAAAAATTTTCCAAATTGGTTCATGCGTCTTGGAGTAATCGTTGAACATGCATAAAAAAAAAAGATTCCGAAAGAACCTCTCTTTTTTTAAGTCGGTTGAAAAGAGGTTAAAATTTGAAAACAACTATTTGCCATGCATCATAAATGTTGTTTCAGTATCTTCTAGTCATGGAAATCATTAATAAAAATTATATAATAGATCATCAGAAAAAGTACACAAAAAATAAATTGTAACTGAGAAATCTTTTTCTCGTAAATCCTATTATTGATCGCCTAACTAATTCTGATAGCGGATTATTCAGTTTTTAATATCAGTATTTTCAGATCAGGGAGAGTCAACTGCTTAACATGTTCCAACTTTTACAAGGCCTGCCACTTAAGATTAGTGATAATTGGTTTAATGCAAAGCTAGTTGATTTTACGTGCCTTTGAACTATGTTGCTAAATCTAATTTCGGGCACCCAACACTACGTTTTGCCGGTACTAAGCGTCTACCATAAATAGTATAAACAAACTTTACACAAGTTTGTTTATCATCATCATCATAACCATTACCGCCCTTCACAAGTCCACTGCTGAACATAGGTCTCTCCCAAGGAATGCCACAAAACTTACGAAAGTTTGTTTATACTATTTCCATTATTAGACACGTCTAATTCAACAATGGTTATTTCTGCATCGAATTTCGTCCAGCTTATTGTCGATTCAGTTATCTAATTCGTTTGTTCATATGTCCTCAATATATTTTGTTTTCTTAACATGTTTTTTTTTTCAATTATTAAAAAATTTATCATTTTTTTTATTTCAGAAAGACATTCAAATGCTGAATGCAATTTATGGCTGGCTGTATTCAGAGAAAAAATTCAATGTAGAAAATTACCTGGCATCAAAAACAAATTATGAAGGATCATTAAATAAATTGCTAGTGCTGGACGCATTCCTAGAAGACATTGTTATAGCAAGAAATGATTTCATAACGCCTTTTAAGACTGATGAGGTGAAATTAGAATTTTGTCTCTCGATTTTATATTTTAATTTGATAATTTATTTATTATATGCATATTCAACAACTTATCCTAGTGTATGTTACCCACAATCAATTTAATTTTATTAAAAATAAACTTCGAATTTGTCTCTTGTTATGCATGCATATTAAATATAAAAATTTTAATGGACAATCATCAAGACCCGATGTAAAAGTTTGTAAGCCATACAAATTCTTGTTCGACCTTCCGGTCCGTGCCCAAATGCACTTATGTAAAATAGAATAAAATAGTTTGGAAAATCTAAAAGAACACGCCTCATGAACGTTTCATTTAATTTTGATGAAAAAAATAAATTACCAAAATAAATGGATTACACAAAGTATAAAATCGATATAGGCTGTATAGTAGCTGTACAGTTGTCCTTTAGTTGGCTAAAGAAGAAAATGAAATCACCATTAAATTAGCCATAAAATTTATAAACCTTTGGTATGAAATAAGGAACAAGTTGACGTAATTCTGAAGCTAATGAAAAAAAACCCGGTCTCGATACGTCAATTTTTTCGGGAGTTATCGTGACCACATACAAAATCAACATCTAGACGTGCACGAAAATTTTTTTTCGATCCGTTTTTTATCAAAGTAGCAATATAAAATGATTTTTAGAAATGTATAAGATAGATTAATTAGTGTTTTCTTGATATACGGCTACTCAGCGTTTAAGTGCAATATGGTTATGATAGAGGCATTTTAAGACCACAAAGTTTTGAAAAACTGCTTGACCTTGACGTGTCGAGAGTAATACATTACCTAATAACGCTTCGCATTATGAGGAGAGTAATAAAATAGACCAAAAGGTGGAATAAAGTGTCTGAGACTGATAGTCTTATATAAATACACATTTACAATATACAATTAGATCTTTGTGACCGTAAGTAAATATCTGGGTCCTATATTCAAGAAATGTTTCGCCTCTTGTGTATTGTACACGTTAAAAAAAACCGTTTTAGTATCTGTGAAAACAGTTTCAATTACAAACTCTTTACTTAACATATTGCTTAAGATTAATATTAAGATGATTGTAATTTATGAAGCCCAGTATAGTTTAAAAAAAGTTTTCTTGTCTATTATAATGAATGTTTTAACAGTGGTAGAGCCACGCGGTAGCTTTTGCTGTCGCACGGATGGGCCGGCTCGAACCTGGGTAGTACCACGACCTCACAGAAAACCAGCGTGAAGTAGAGGTTTACCTCTGCGTTTCGCTTGGTGAGTACAGGTGGCCGGAGGCCCTTTTTACTGGAAATGAGGCATTCCATCTTAGTCCTCACGGGTGACAACGCATCTACATTTTGATTTGTAACAGAGGATAGATGTAGATGTCTATGGGCCGCAGCAACCACTTACCATCAGGTGGACTGTGTGATAAAAAAAAATGTTACAGTACTTGAGTGTAGAAGAAATCCCATTTATAAAATAAAATGCCGTTTCAGCAAATTTCGGCACGTTTTGTTTTATCTTAAGCAATTTGTTAAGTACAGAGTTTGTAATTGAAACTGTTTTCACAGATATTGAACGTATTTTAATGCGACCACAGATTAGTTTCTTTAACCAATCTGTGTTGTGGTCTAGTAATAATACCAGTAAGTACCTTTCTAATATAATATTAACATAAATTTAAAAATTTATATTTTAGGTTTCACCAGAAGATGAAATATATATTTTACCAAAAATATCAAAGAAAAACAAAGATGCAACTGGTACTAAAATAAAACGCACAAAACGGAAAGTAGAAGAAGACAATGCTATGCATAATAAAACTGAATATACCAATATCAATACTAACTCTAAGTACGATTTAGGCGTTTCTAATATGGTAATGGATACCCAGGATTTTATAGACGATTTCAAGATAGATACATATTCTAATAGTAATAATAGGTTTAAGAAGAAAGGAGATGAAGATGAAAAAGATGTAGAGAAGTTTAACCGTGATAAAGATATATTAGTGCATAAGGATTTCGAATTTATAAATGATACAAACTTGATAGACACTAATGGCGAAGACATAAGTTTTGCTGAAGCCGTTAATGACATTATTGATAATGAGAATGAGAGAATATTGAATGACATTGGGGGACAGAGTAAATCGAATGGAGACTTTAGTAATTTTAATAAGACGGCTGAAATACAAGTTTTGCAAGAAAATGAGGATAGTGATAATATAAAAAGTGAAATAATACCCATTGATATTAATATTATTAAGAATGAAAGTATCGAAAACAGGTCTGTGCTAATAGCAGTATCCCCAAATAATGTTACAAATAATAAAACAAATATAAAAGTTGAAATAGACATTGATAGTAATAGTAATAGTAAAAATGACGCCACAATACCGAAATCACCAAATAACAAATCAGAAATTGAGCACCAAAAGAAAGAAAAAACAAGGAATGATCTAGATTCTAAAATATCCGAAATGGAGGAGAAAGCCATGAAAAAGTTTAAGGGTTCCATATTGGACAGTTTATTTTAAGCATAAACTAAACTTTTTGATGAATGTTATGAATTAAATTAGGCTATATATTAGCTAGGAACTTAAATAATATAGGTTTCGTTGGTGTTTAAGATTCTTTTTAGTAAGTCTTCCTTATTTATTGTATATCAACTATCTTGGTCAAAACTTTGAAGTATAATATTGGGTGATGCTGTATATAATATTTTTACTAACCCTGCAAATAAATTGGCGGAAACCGTAAATTTTACTAGAAAATTTGTGTTCACATTAGACGCTCTCTCTTCAACTTCTAGTTATTGTGATAAAAATCTGTGAATATATATATATATAATATAATACTATAAAATTAAAATGAACTTCTGGGGATTTTATATCATTTATGTTATGCAGCCATGAAATGAAAGTCACAAAATAATTGTCAACATTTAAGAATTTATTTTCATGTATATTTTACCTATAAAACATTGTATATAGGAATGTTATACATTACTTAAGAATAATAGGAGAATCCTAGTTTTTCTTTATAAATATAGCCCAGCATTTTATTTATTTGTTGATTTAATATGAAAATAAAATATTGTGTTATTCTGCAATGGATTGCTAGTTTTATTTGCTGTTAATATTATAAAAGTTGATGGTATGTACATTAAGTAATTTAATATTAATTTAAAAAGTGTTTATAAACAGTTAATAAAATGGTGTACCAATTATTTATAATTTATAATAAAATACAAATATCTTTAAACATGGTAATGCTTTTATAATATGCAATTTGCCTTAGATTTGCGTACATACTAAAAGACATTTATTTTGCATTGTAGTTGTAGTATAATTGTCCTAAAACTTTTTTGGTTGATGTCGCTCAGAAGTGTACACAAGTACAAATTACAAGTTAAAGGAAGTATTTTTAAACACGCATCAAAGTAGGGATGCGCAAGTGAAAAAATATATCGATTTAAGCGACAACAGCACATGAAAGCTTTTGTATAGCTGCTTTTGTTGCTTAATGTTTTGTCTTTATGTATTAATCCATTTTAAAATATATCGAAATTGATACGAATTCGATACTCTAAAATAAACATCGAATATCGATATATCGCGATTAAAAATATCGATATTTTCATGAGAAAATATCAACATCGATATATTTTACCCAAGTATACATCAAAGAGTGCGAAGTTCATTTTTATACGTTGTCTCCCATACATTAGCGGCATCAGTCATGGATACAATGTAATATTACCGTAACCATGTATATGATTTTTATTGAGCTACTGCAAAGTCGCTTTATTATGTGACCCTAAAGAAAAATATCCTACAAATAAAATAGGCGTAAATAATGCCTGGTAGTTTAATTAAAAAAAGAAACTGCAATTAGACTAATAAACAACAACTGTTTTTATGAAAATGTATGCAGTCACTATTTATCAATCAATTCTGGCTAGTGACTCGCTCCGACTCTCCACGGTTGCGTGTGAGTGAGAATTATGGATGCATGAACATAAAATATGCATGCATCCATATATACCTACCCCAAGAAATACTATTGGTGATAGCGAAAATCATATCATAATACGCGGGTAAGCAAATTTCATGTTAATATCAATTAAAACTCGCATAGCTGCATAGCATCAGTGCTCCTACTAACAGAGCCCAGTATTTGTGTATATAACACGATTGTTTAAGTTACTGTAATCTGTGGAATAGAATAGAATTATTTTATATAATAATTTTATACAAGAATACCAATTGAAAGTCATTTTTTACTTTTACCACTGGTTCGCAAAAAACCTCTGTCCTGGGAAGAACCAGCAAGAAACCTAGCGGCTCATTTTTTTAAATGAAATCAATTTACAATATATTTTATACAATTGGCACGAATACATTAGAAACAGCATGTTAGCAATCACCTCATTCCCTGGGGTTATTATCAATCGTGTACTCTTTAGTAGTATTATAACCCTTACTAAACAATTTTTGCTTAATAAATATTTTTAAGCTTTCTGATAGATAAGGTCTACATATTTTCTGGGACTTTGTTGTAAAAGCGTATACATTGTCCAATAAAGGAATTATTGACTCTGGAGTCAAGTAACGAGAGTTTATGTTACCTTAATAAGTTGCCTAATAATTTAGGGCATGTGAATCTGAACATGAATTCGTAATCAGTCTCCGTCTACTTTTGCTGCTTTTACAACAAAGTCCCCGATACTATGCAGGATCTATTTATCTAAAAGTTTAAAATGTTTTCTAAGCAAAAATTTATAAATGAGAGTTATTATAGTGCTAAAGAGTACATAATAACCCCTGGGAATGAGATGATGCCTGCCATGCTGTTTATGTTTACATATTTAATTGTACATATAACTTATTATAATATACAACATGTAACAAAAACCCTGTGGTTCCCGTTAAGTACGTTATCAGGATCAGTATTCAAACCTATAGAAATAACTTTTTTTGGCTCCGTGGCGCAGTGGCTTAGCAATGAGCTGTTGCGCTGGGGGTCGCGGGTTCGAATCCCGCACGGAACAAGTATTTTTATGGCCTACAAGTAATTGTTCCGGGTCTGGATGTTTGTCCTTGTGTAATTTATGTTTATAAACTGCCCGCACGATACAGGAGAAAACCCTAGTGTGGGGGGTAACGTGTTTTTTTTTAAAGAATAAGTATTCTTGTAATCTATATTGAATAAAAACTATTCTATTCTATAGAATTGTTACAGGACATAAGTAATGTAAAGTTTTTAAGTCTTACCTACCTACGTTCTTTCGCGTTATTTCAAGGCACAGGTAGGTTAGTAAACTTTGTATTAGTAATGCTATCTAAATTTATAACTTTCGACAGGTTTTGTAAATTGCAACTGTTGCCGACATCCGCAGGGGAATAATATCATTATAATGAACACTTAAATATTTACTCGTTATAAAGAAGCTAAAAATAGTAAGTTAATTTAAGCAATAGCAGTTTATATAAAGCATATAGATCAGTTGTCATCGTAACACATCACACAACCAGAGCAGGAACAAATATTGTAACAATATAATATATTATATCTGTGTATAACAACAATATTTATACTAAATAACAATGTACAGTCGCGTGCACTAAAATTCAATTATGAATAATGTATAACAAGTTAGTGCTCGTGACTGTACCGAGGCCTAATGTGACATTGAGGCATTATTATCAAATATAATATTTGTAAAGCTAAATTCGTATTAAATAATTCGTTTTTATTCTTAACTAATCTCACAATCATATAATATTTAAGACATACATTAGAACTGAATTAAAATATTTTTTTTAATGCAAAGGCAATGATACTGTAGCTATTTAAGCCCGAACAAACTTAGTTCAGAAAGCATTTGATTACGAACTATTAACAACATTGATTTACATACAACATGCAGTTCCAGTAATAAAAATATAATAATTTCCTTTTTTAAAATACATTTTAAGTACATGTTTAAAATAACACAATAATATAAGTACACAGTTTTGATCTGCTCATTCCCAGTATCTGTGGGTATGCAGACGACAGCACAGTTGTGGACCAACCAAGTGTCCGGGCCAGTCGGGTTTAATTGTGGATCACATGTTAAACGTTACATTATCCACTTTTTTATTTTACAATACCTTAATAATATAAAAAATTGTTAACTAGTAGTCATTTTAAATAACACTTAAAGTGGTCGAAAAAAAATAGAAATATAATTCATTAATGATAAATGTGATAATGGGTCCTTCACAAAATAAATTCATATATATATATATTTTTTAATAATGGAATATTAAAGTATACTCCACTCCATCATTTATATAAAGACTATTTCGATTTATCTCATTTTTTAAATGTAAGTACAAATTCTGTAGAATCCTTTGTAAAAAAATATATAAGGTATTACAAATATAGAAGACACTTATAGTAAACATAAATAAAATTTATATAATTTAACATAATATCATCATTGCCGTGTGGGGGAGAATCCATCACGATTCATAATAATAAAAACATATAATTATATTAAATTGCAACTTTTAAAGAATACTCAAACATCGTATGGTCGTTATGAGATAAAATTCAAGCTAAAAGTCAGATTTTTTCTTGATTTTAACAGTATGAGTATTATTTTTAATACATCAATTTATACTTCATAATCATTTAGCGATATCATTGTATTCTTGGGCCATTTAAGTAGGTTTTGCTCTACGTTTTAATAAACACAATTCATAAATAAATAAAGCACCTAGTGTCCTTTGCCGTGTGTGAATCACTTTAAAAAAAAAGTGAGGTAGGTATCTGTACAACACAATTGCATAAGCTTTGTCATTTTTTCGGCGGGACGATGTTATGTGTACTATTATTTATTGTGTGGTTATGTACAGAGCGCTAAGGACGTAAGTGCAGATATTCCGCAACAAACACACGGAAGATTTTATTCAAATTGTCGATTGTGTTAAAGTCCAGCGCGGACATATTGTCGTCTGCGGTGTGCCACACGTCCGGGAACGGGTTCGGGATCACATGGACTACGTCGACGTCTGCAAAATCAATAAAAAATATTATTAAGTAATCGAATAGAGATTTGATTTCGTGTGGATGCGGCGTTAGAGAATTGTAAATTTTAACTTTTATCTCTTAAATTAATTAATTTTTACTAAATATCTTTTGATCGATCGCTATTGATGATTGTTCGATCATAAACACAACTTAATTGTTAATAATTGACCATAAAAGCGAGCTAAGTTCGGGACTTGGGGCACCCCGACTCGGACAGGTTAGGTTAGAAGGGAATGGCGGGTTGGCGGGGTCGAGTGAGAGAGCGAAGCGAGCGAACAGAGCCCGCAATCCTCTATGTGGTGTTTTTTATAAACCACCCAGTAATAGGAGCCCCGCTATGCGGGGCTTCGTCGACTACTTAAAAATATTGAATAATTAACAATTAAGTTGTATTTAAGGTATAATTCCGTAGCCGCAGACAGCAGCAGCAGGCGACATGTCGTCGCGTCATGTCGCTGCAGTCATGATTCCGAACCCGACTGCAGGCGGCAGCAGCCCGTGTTCCAATCTCTTCCGAATGTTCTGTGGGTACTCTATTGATATAAACAAAATAGGTACTATATGTATATACCCCTATACATATAGTAGGTACCTATTTTGGTACCTATAAAAACGGTAAGTTTTTATTTAACTCCTTTCCTATATTTTTTCAAATATTATCTTTTGTCACACTGTTTAAATAATTATTGTGAGATGCATCGTACAGTGCGGGATATTGGGCCACCTGGTTTATCAGTTTCTCTTTCACGGAATCGGTGAAACTCATTTTTTGAGAAAAATTCAACGTGTTGCTCGGGCGTTGGCGACACTACTGATCTGCGGTCGGGCGACACGCTAGCTACAGAAGGTATTTCATAGAACTACATAGAAACCAGTAGTGTCGCGACGACACGTCGCCTGCTGCTGCTGTCTGCGGTCGGCTACAGAATGGTACCTTTATGATCGAACAATCATCAATGGCGATCGAACAAACGAAATTTAGTAAAAATTTATTAATTTAAAGGATAAAAGTTAAAATTTACAAGGGGCACCAACTTAAGGATGAAATTTGTTTAATTAATTATAAATAATTAAAAGACGAAAAAACAATTTTTATGTTTGAACAATAACCAACAAACGACGAACAGTTAATTTAAAAAAAAACTATAAAATCAAAAATAAAAAACCCAAGTGGGGCTAATTTCAGGTACCTATATAGGGAATCACCCCATTCAGGGCCGGCCCTAACCACCTAAGCGCCCCGTGCGAGTGATTTCTTTGGCGCCCTTTTATACCCTACTGATGTTATAAACGTGAGTTTGTAAGGTATGTTAGGATGTACCGATGGATGTTTGTTACTCTCCCAAGCAAAAACAACAGAACGGATTTTGATGAAACTTTACAGTAATATAGCCTTAGCCTATACATGAGAATAACATAGACTATATATAACGATATTGTATAATTATCTTATACTGATTACGTGGGCGAAGTCACGGGACGGGTCCCTAGTTTGATTATAATTAAAAATTTATTTTAAATTTGATTTAGATTGTTAGAGATAGTTATTAAAATTATAGTGGCGAAATTAAGCTGCCGCGTGTGACGCCCTGGGCGGCGGTTCGGGTTGCCCCCCTAAAGCCGGTGCTGACCCCACTTAGTTCTGTTGGCGTCGTTAGAGGCGACTATGGGAAGTTTCAAATTGCGACTACATATAAGCGCCGTCCTATTGCCATCGCTCGCGCGATCAAGCGTGCGTCCGAGGAAAATGATAGTGCGACCGTACGTTTAAACATACTCATATCTGCGGAATGTCCTATTGAAGGTCGTACGATCATGCGATGCGATCGAATTGTCTAATTTTCGTCGTGCGATTATCGACGCATCGTATAGATCGGACGATTGTCCGATCAAACATACTAATCGGTACTGAATGTCCTAATGGCGCTCGCGCGACCAAGAGGCGGAGGCAAGGGTGGGGTACCACGTTTACGTTTATTTTTTTTAATGTTGTTCACTATTAAAGAAATATTGCTCGACAGCAAAAACTGTGTAACTCTGTTAAGAGCCATTTGGAGAGTGATCGCATCGCTCCAAAATAGGACACACGATTTATAAACGTGCGAGCGGACTCATCGGACGATGAAATCGCATCGCGTCATCGCGCGAGCGATGGCAATAGGACGGCGCCATACGCATGTAATAATAATAATTAATGATTGCTTATATCGTCTCGTGGCTGTTGTAAGAGGCGACAAAAGCAAACTGAAACAGATGGCCAGTATAGCATCTTCCTTATAACAAGTCAAAATTATTAAAAAAACTGCGGTTTGCAAGCGTGGCAACTATGGCATAATCCCTTCAAATGAGGCAACCTATAGGCCTATGTTTAGTAGTGGAGTTTTATAAGTAGTAATGGATGATAATGGAATGACGGCTCGAATACTATATGTGGTGGAAACATGCTGCAGCTACACTAGTACTTAATCGACCGGGAAGGATCACGCTCTCACAGAACACCAGCGTAAAATAGCAGCATAACACTGGTGTGTTCCGTATTCAATCTTAGTCCTCACGGGTGACAACGCATCGGCATTTTTATTCTTTATTGAGGATAGATGTAGATGTCTATGGGTCACAGCAACCACTTACAATCAGGTGGACTGTGTGCTCGTTTGTCACCCTATCCTATATAAAAAAAGTTATATATATATAAAAATATTGTGTGGCAGCGCCAGTGGTTACCCTACCGACACTGGTTGCCTATGATATGCTCTATCGAGATAATTACCACTCTCCTAATATTGTTTAAGAGCGTTGTAACCTTGAGACTGATATACAATATAATTTAATTTAATGTAAAAAATAGCCTTTTTTATTTTTTTTATTTAATAAAAAAGGGTGCAGCTCAGGGGCTAAGCGTTGGTTTGTTTTTAATAAAATTCACAGTACGCTAGCAACCCGGGTTCGATTTTCGCCTGCACCAATGAGATTGTTCATTGCAATTTTAAGTGCTGATTTACCACTTGCTCAGCGGTGAAAGAAAACATCGTGAGGAAACCTGACGAGAAGGAAGTTAGCGTAGAACATTATTTTTTTTAAATTAAACTGTATGCTTAGATATTTTGTTTTATAGCAAAATTAAATTTTCGATAATTATTTTTTTTAAATTAATTATAAATTAACTAATAGCAATAGAGGTGGAACAATTGCGGAGTCTACTGGAGCATTTAATGAGCAATTAATTGGCATACAGTTTAATTTTAAAAGTAGATATTTTATGTTTTAGAGCAAAATTAAATTCTATCTAATTGGCATACAGTTTAATTAAAAACAAAATTCTACGCTAACTTCCTTCAGGTGGAAACCTGTATGTCTGAGAAATAAAAAAAAACCGGCCAAGTGCGAGTCGGACTCGCGCACCCCGAGGGTTCCGAACAAATCCGTAGGTATATAAGTTTAAAATTATTAAAAATATTTTTATTATATGATGTAACTAAAAATTTATGTTTTTCGCAATTTTTCCTTTATCTGTGCTATAAAATGTTGCTTCGTACCAAATTTAAGATTCTGATTTCACGGAAAGTACCCTGTAGGTTTTGATTCCCTTGTGAATGTCGAAAATTTGCGGCATAATCGGCTGTATCTTTTGATTACGTTGGCTTAGAAGTTTAATTTTTTCACAGCTTCAAGGGACAGTAGACTTGAGTATTTGATATGAATTTCAGCTTGATACCTCCACGCGTTCCTGAGAAAAAGGGTCTTGACAGACAGACGGACAACAAAGTGATCCTATAAGGGTTCCGTTTTTCCTTATGAGGTACGGAACCCTAAAAAATATTTCGAAAATATGTGAAGTTCGCCAACACGCATTGGAGCAACGCGGCGGGCATTTCCTTTTCCTAAAACCCTTTCAGAATTGAGAAGCGGCATGTGCCCAGCAGACGGGCTTATATAGGCTGTAACTAAAAAAATAATAAACAATAATGATCCGCTGTATTCTTCCTATTATCTCAAGAAGCAGTAGTATAATATACAATACAGTAAAAGATCTTAAGGCTTCTGACAGATAACGGTGTAACTATATCTTTACGCTACCGTGCTAAATTATCGGTTTCGAATCCTGAGTCGGGCCAAAAAGTTTTTCTTTCAAGAAATTCTCAGTAGCAGTTCTGAGTCAGGGAGTTGGCGGTGTTTCCTGTCTCGGAAAGCACGTAAAGCCGTTGGTCCTGCGCCTGATCTCTCTCCGATCGTGTCGGTTTACCGTCCCATCGGACTTTGAGAGTAAGGAAATATAATATTAGTGACTACTTAGAAAAAAAAAAAAAGAATTAGTTTCTGTGTAATTCAATGTGTAGTGTTCGCGTAAATATATGAAATCATTTCCGCTTCAAGTTAAAAAAAAGGCTCCACTAGGTAGTCTAAAATTTGCGGACGTATTATAAACATTAATGACAATAGGTACAATAAATTCTGAATAGTGACTATGATTTTGACGACCTAGATTTTACAAAGATCAGCACAGCTTAAGTTCTTTTTACTTTGTACGATTGTTAAATTGGCCTACTGCTATCTGTTTATATTCAAGGGACAACTATTTTGAGAACCCAAAATAAAACGTTTAATTCCCGAGATTATGTTATATCTGCAAGTGGTAAAATTAAAAATTTTGTACAACCGACATCTCCGATAAATAAAATGAGAACTCAAAAACTACTGGTCAGATCTTGACCAAATTTATATGGGACCACATGAAAACACCTTTCCACCAACCAGCTTTCAAATAAAAAAAGAATCATCAAAATCGGTTCAACTAGGGTATAGTATTTTTATATTTGATAATTACACATATAAAAAAATATAGTCGAATTGAGGACCACCACCCGACAGGACTACTAAAATAGGAGTTGCGTAACCTACGGGACCCTATTAATAAGCCTCCGCTGTACGTCCATCCGTCTGTCTGTCAGCGGACCGTATCTCATGATCTGTAATAGGTAGA